AACTGATAATATAAAATTATTTATATCAAAAGAGAAATGGGAGTATATTTGAATATCACAATTGGGACAAAACCCCTCCAATACTAAGAGTCAACGTGGCAGCTTGCCTCTGCGTATTTTCCAGAGCTTGCTTTCTCACTAGAATTACCATGCCACACTTGGCCACAGACACAGCAGCACAACAGTTACACGTCCTGTATTCCACACCACTGTCCCTCGGCCAGCACATTAGGAAATGCTTATAAAAACCAACAGCAATGAGAAATGGAAAAAAACAGGCCTGGCACTCTTTACAGGCACACTGTATCTCTACTGATGGTGAGCCTAATTAAGCTGCAAGTGGTGCTGCAAACAGAGCTGCAGGTTCAAGAAATAAAGAACGAGAGGTGTTTTATTATAAACGACAGCTCGAAGGACCAACGGCGTTACATTAGAAGTAGGGAAGTTCTGATAAGGTTTCCGATACCTGAGCTCAGGGTATCGGTCAATACAGAGTACTGAACCAATATCTGAGAGTGTTTCTTTAGAAACAGTTGTGAGATTTATGATGTGGTTCAGACGTATCCATTAAAAAAATATAAACAAATTCATACAGTGAACTACAGTGTTTTTATTATCTGACATTTGTATTATCAAATTGTATTATTCAATAGTAATACTATTTACTCTATTTTACTGAAACAAATCAAACATTGTAAACTAAAAATAATGTATTCAACGTTTACAGTATAACTGTATAAAGATCAGTGCAAAATATATAAAATAATTATGAATAAAATAGAAAAATAACCTCTTTGAAACTTAAAAATGCAGATTTAAAAAAAAAAATACATCACCCTCTTCATCCTCACTGCTCTAACATTGGTTGTGGCAACAAAGCAAAACTTCCTGTGTTTGCTTTCTGAGCAGCGAAGAAGAACTGATTCCAGGTTTGCAGTGTTAAGCAAAGCTAGAGGGCATATGTCTCATTTAAAAACATGGTATGAGTTCGTTTATAGTTTTAGATATTCGCCGATGCAGTATTGGCGAGAACTTCTGATATTAGTATTGGTATAGGAACAAGCCTATTAAGAAGTAGACCTGATGTGATCATTCAATTACAGCCAATTACATTTTTCCATTTAATTTAGATTGTATATTATTTCAGATAACCATGTCTTGAGTCCTTTAGATGCCACATTAAGGCTATGCGCCATTTTGAAATATCACAGACGTGGATATTACAATATACATATTACAATAGTTTGCAATAAATTTGTGATATAATACAAAAGTGTGTTTGTGTCTGCTATTAGCACACCCTCTGAAAGGCTTTTTAACACATCAGGCAATGTACTTGCAATTAAATATATCACATTTTTCTTCAACATAGCACATCCACAAAAATGTATATAACCAAGCAATTAAGTCACGTTAAGAAAGGCGTAAACTCTGTATCAAGTATTTGGGTTTTTAAGTTTGTTCTTAAAGACCAAATATGCGTACAAGCCTACATTTTAGCAAAACGTACAATAAGTTGCTCTGTGTACAATTAGTTGCACATTTGAGACGACAAATCTACTAAAGGCACTGTGTACATTTTTGCAAATATCAACTAAGTTACAAATAGGGTACATTTTGTTTTACATTTCAAAAACATGTCCTTCTTGTAAATGTCAAAGGTTTGATGTACAGATCAAGCAAAACACTGACCTAAACCCTTTCTTAAATCCAAACAATGCTGTTTTTAAAAGCAACTGAATAAAGAGACAAATTCACTGCAACCACATAGTTTAATTTTACATTGCTTTTATCGTTCTTGTAGAACCGTGCTCGAACCCGAGCGCTCTACATTACAAGTACAAAAACATACAAAGAGACCTACCAAGCAAACCAACCGCCCCACAAAAGTTGTGCATATGGAGATAGAAACGCGAGGCAAATCCATTCGATTACAAGTTATGGACATCGCTAAAGTATTTTGCGGAATTTAATTGGTGTTTTGCATAGAACTGTTAATAATCCTTTATTCTGTGATAACATGTCCCTGAAAATGTCATTAGCGTACATTTCTATTTAAAGTCCATTTAAACCTAGTATTAAAACCAACAGTAAGAAGGTTAATCAGATCCTACATAGAGTATTGTCCAACAATGAGAAGAAATTACTGAAATATACACGTCTGTCCACATCAACCAATCTTAAAAAAAGTTTATTTTTTACTATTTAAAGAAGAATGCACTTTTATATTCTGTATACTGTTTTTGGTAATTGCTTCAACTATTAGTAACTAATGTTTTATCCCATTTTATTTATTTTCTTTAATTCTCTATTTAAACCAGACAGGCATTTTATTTAAATATTTATTATTAACTTTTCTGAACCAACAGTTTAAAACTAAGCAACTATAATGAAATTTAACTGAAACATGACTATCCCTGTCATGATAAGTGATTTTTGTTGTGCAATATGTTTTATACATAAAATTATTCAATTTGTGATAAGTGACATTATTGTCATTTCCAGAAAATTTTACTGGAATGTCACTTATAACATAATGGCTATACAACAACATAAAAATGCAAATTGGCATAAATGCTTACAATGGACAAAAACCTTTATATTCTTAAGGACTAAGAATATCTATTGATATCGAATAATTGTCCAGCCCTGAGTTCATTAAAACTGAGTGACACCTCCTATAGAGATATGTTATGACATTAGTTTCTATGTTATATATATAGTGCATCATTAAAAATTATTTGAGTTCATGTCTATTTATTGTGGTCATGTCCATGTATAGTAAATATATTGATTATTGTGAAAGGCCTAAACATGACTTAAACAAAATCCATACAAAACTCGGAAATGTGTACCATTACACCCTAGTCTACACTGTGTCCTCTATTTGAGATCATACTGTCAAAAAACTCTTAATACAGGGCATTAGAGTTCAGAACAGTCACATTTTTCACAGCAAAGGCAAATCAACCCATATCTGCCACCTTAAGAGGAAACAAAGTCTGGGCTGTAGGTGCAAATGATAACTACATTTTTTTATACAACTTCTGTGGTTATGAACATGCTCGCTGCACATGAACATGAACTTTCTGCATCAATGGCAGTTGATTGCAATCTTCACAGCCTAATTGATATAAGATATAAAGGGGGTCTCAAATTATACAAGCAGCACCGCATTAAATTACAGTTTCCCATGCTATGTCTTTAAAATATGTTCATTTATTTTACTTCAGTATTTTCAATTGTGTTTCAGCGCTCGCCTGCTGATCCTGACAGTGCATGCGTGTAAACGGCTTTTCATCTCATTTTACGATTGAACAACTAAATGAATGCTCAAGTCTAGAACCCGTACAAAATTGAAAAAATTCACATTAACCGTTCACCTGAAGTGTATTGGTATGGGAAGAAACATTAGCTGTGCATATACACTATTACAACAGGCTGTGTTCGATTTCATCATTAGAGTACTTTCAACACGTTCACACCCTACTAACCAATCATGAGAGCTTGGTAGTTTGAACTAGTATTAAAAGTGTTGGAAGTTACTTCCCATCTAACACGTGTCTTGTTGTGACCCCCTGAGAAGAAAAAATAAATCTTATTGATGTTATTGTGTACAGTAGGGTGCTACACTAAAAAGAGAAACTGTCAACGCTACTAACTTAAAAACAAAAACACTGATACGTTTTTCTTTTCCCTGGCATGTCAATGCAATATGTACATGCAACTCTGAATGCCTCTGGTAAAACAGAACATATTACAGTAATGTGTAATCTTTAAACATGGCTATTACAGCACTATTTCTGATCAGAATAAGCATGACCATCAGTTTAGAAACATATATAGGTGCAAATTGAGGTATATATATATTTATTTATTTTTTTTTTTTCTGGAGAAAGCCTTATTTGTTTTATTTTGACTAGAATATGGCTTTTGGCTTTAATCTTTTTAAAACCATTTTAAAGTCAAAATATTAGCCTCTTTAAGCTATATTTTTTTTCGATAGTCTACCATCGTTATACAGTAACTTGCCTAATTACCCTAACCTCCCTAGTTGACCTAATTAACCTAGTTAAGCATTTAAATGTCACTAAGCTGTATAGAAGTGTCTTGAAAAATATCTAGTCAAATATTATTTACTGTCATCATGGCAAAAATAAAACAAAACAGTTAGAAATGAGTTATTAAAATTAATGTTTAGAAATGTGTTGAAAAAAATCTCTCCATTAAAGACATTGGGAGAAAAATATATCTAATTTAACATTCGGTTTATGCGAAAAATAAAACAAATACATACTTTATTTGACCAAACATATTAATGCAATATTTTTAAATTACACAAGTGTAATCTTGCACATTGATATTTATATGTAAGTTACACCTGAGAAATACAATAGTCAATATTTTACCATTAAGTGTCCCTGTGAAAAAGATACAGATCACTTATACAGTTAAAGTATATCAGCACAAGTTAAAACTTTATATAAATCCAAATGCTTCAAATGTGTCATGCTAAATGCAGCAGGTTTCACGTTTAGCACTAAATAAATCTTGTTCCAAACACGACTTTACAGACTACATGAGTTTGCACATAATTTTAGGAACCCCACGTGTACCTGAAAACTTGTGTATATGGCAAAACTTGGATAATGATTTTCAGCAATAAACTCCAGGCTGTGTGGTTTAAACTCACACTAATAGCGTTAGCCAACAAGCTACCATTAGTTCATCCGAAAAACACCATTTAACCGGAATCCACACACGAAAGAGAAATATCTCAACTAGACACAGATGTAAACCAACCGGGAAATAAACTCTATATGTTAATATAAACTGTAAAACGAGACTGGAGAGAGTCTAAAGCAAAACCGTTAGCTGAATGTTTCACCTTAGCATTCAAACCCTCGTCGCCATCTTGAACATAAGCGCTTAGCTCAGACTAGCCTGCATGAAATCCACAACAAAGCGCTCAAAATATTTAGATTAAATGGTAAACTCACCTCATGTCCTTAGAGACACTCAAATACGCTCTGAAGGAGTCTGTGCTGTTCAAACGAGCGGTAATGTAATTTGTAGCGGTGAGACTGCGCGAGCCCTCTCTCACACACACAAACGCACACACTTAAACACACACACTAAACACAGGCTAACGTTAGTTATTTGTCCTCAGTGAGCCGTGGATGTAAGTTCAAGTCGCCTTCTGTCTCATTCCGCGTCAGAAATTAATATACGTCACGAGCGTACCGGTCTCTGCTTGCTAAACACCCGGTGGTTTGCATTTTGTGCAGCTCTGGTGCACCAGATGAGACGGACTGAAAGTTTTTCCTCTAGCAAACAGGATGAAACGGTGTGACGTTCAAACTCTCCCCACAGGCGGCCTTCACCCCACCCAAACCTCACTCTCCGTCTTTTACTGTACAACAGAATTGCAGCAAAATAGATGTTTGATAATAACTATCTTATAGAAACGAATCAATTCGCCTTTTAATGATTATTTTACATTTGCTTCCGCCTTTGAAATAATTCATATTAAACATGTTTGTTAAATAAAATTGCATTAACTCCGTCGTGCAACTGTTGTCTGCTACTTTAAAAAATGCACGATTTGTATAGGTTGGAAATAAATATAATATTAAAGTTTCCTAAAATAATCCAGTCATTTAAGTGTAAACAATCCGATCTGTAGGAACCATTGAGGAGGATACGATGTTCCACACGGACTTTTTAATGGCGCGGACGAGATGTTTGTTTTCTTTACCATTTCATTTGTCTTGGTGGCTTACGCTGTCTTTATAAAGTTTGTGTATTATAGACACAGCCAGTTATGGCCACACGCATTGAATAAAATATCCACCCCTTTATACACCGTCGGAAACTCGAGGTTTTGCCCAGCGCAAGAGAGGTCCGGCGCGCTTTTTCCAAATTCAGAGGATGAGAATCCGCGCGAGACTCGAGCTCTGGTAGTCACTGCACATCCAGATGATGAATGCATGTTCTTTGCACCTACAGTCTTAAGGCTAGTTGAATCACGTGCAGCCGTGTATTTGTTATGTTTGTCAACAGGTAGGTTTATTATTCTGTCAATAAATAATAATCTGTTTCTGTTTGTACTCTGATTGGGTTTAATAAAGAAAGCTGAACTTCTGCAGTAGTATTTGTAATAGTATTTGTAATAGTTGTATAAGCAGAAGAGACACATTAAATGTTTCTGCAATGCTCAGGCAATTACAACAATCAAGGACTGCAACGCAAAAAGGAACTGCTGGACAGCTGTGCAGTTCTGGGAATCCCAGCCAACCATGTCTCCATCATAGATGACAAGTAAGAGCAGCACACAGGACATACAGAAGTAGTTCAGATAAATAAAAAAACAACTAAAAACAATAAATAAATAAAAATCTGTCAACATTTAGTGTCTCCTATATTGTCAAAAATCCTCTTTAAACCTCTTTCTGCAAAAGTCATCTTTACAATCATTGTGTTAAAAATGTAATTGTACCAAGGAGGAAAGAAATTAAGAGGATTGAAATTTTGAAACGGCATGATGAATTCATGGAATCTCTTGGCAGTCATCTGAAGAAATTTTTGACCAAAACAATATTGGTTAGAATGACTGTTGAAAATACATTAAATTCAGTTATATTCTAAAATATTGATTGAATGTAAGCAATGATCTATAAAAAATAAGGATTCTGAAAACTATTAAAAAGTTTTAGTAATTTCCATACATGATGTTTCCACTTGGCCTCTGCGATTTGGGGAAAATAGTTAACTGATTTATTTTTTGACAGATATTGTGATTTCGATTTGATTTGTGATTTTATCCTGTAGTCAAGCTTCTGCTCATTAATCTGTATCATAGGCCCACACGGAATCTGCGTGCGCAGAATTCCGCAGATTTTCCGCAGAATTCTGCAGATTTTTGCAGATTTTTAGCCCATCATTAATTGTTTATTTACTTGAGTAAATGTGTAAATCTAAATTTATTAAGTTTTTATTCAGTAATTTATTACTTTTTGTAAATTTCATATATTAAGGTTTTAGTTATGATACTCCGCTGGATACTCCCAAAATAATTCTGCAAAAATCTGCCGATTTTTTCCAAAATTCTCCACAGAAATAGCAAAAAACATCCGCAGATTCCGTCTAGCCCTAATCATAACTTCTTACTGCTGAAAGGCAGTGAGTGTTAGTTAAAAAAAGGAACTGAAAAGATATTAACTAAAACATTTACTCAAATTTATTTTTAAATATTTAGAAAGTAAACACAACTTTTTCTTCAGAGCGCCACAGCGGAATGAACTGCCAACATATCCAGCACATGTTATACGCAGCAGTTGCCCTTCCAGCCGCAACCCATCTCTGGGAAAGCTTATTTGTTGTATTTTTAATTTTTTTGGAAACCAATACATACTATTCAAAGGGTAATATAAAATAAACAAAATTCATCCAAAGTGACTATATTAGAGCTCGGGAATCTATGTCACAGTGAGTTGCTGTCAGATGGGCACAGATGCAGAGGGGCGAATCCAAAGTGGATCAAATAAATTAATGAGTTAATCAGTAAATCACAGCGTGTTAATGAGCTGCTGCAAGAAAACTTTTATGTATTTGAATTTTTTCTTTATTTGTAGTGTGAATGGATACAGTTTAATGAGTATATTCATGATACAATATATCAATAGAGATCAATGGGAATCAGGCACCCTTGTCCTAAATGCCTAAAATGCATTGTGCTGACACAACACACACATACATATACACACACACACATACACACATATACATTCATATTATATATGTTCGACAATAAAACTGAAACACTGGCTAATTTAATGTTGGAGGTTTCATGGCTGAATTTGATCAATTCGCAGTGAATTAGCACAGTTTTGCTTAAAATATTGCAATGCTTACAGCATTAAGGGTAACATATCAGAAGACAAATATTTGGTGCGCACCTCGCTGTCGCATCTGTGACCAAGACAGTTGGTCTTTTGATGTATCAAGAGCCACGGTATCCAGGCTAATATCAGCAAACAACCAAGATGGGGAACCACATCCAACAGTAGTAATTCTGGATGCAAGAGAAAGCTGTCAGAAAGAGTTGTCTAGGTGCTAACCTTGATTGTATCCAAAAAATCTAAAACCATAGCTGCCAAATTAAAAGTGCACGTCAACTCTTCTGTTTTCACCAAATCTGTTAATCTAGGGCTCCACAGGGTCGATATACATGGCCGAGCTGCTATAGCCAATCCTTTGGTCACTCGTGCTAATGCCAGTTGTTGCTTTAAACTGTGCCAGCAGCTTAAATATTGGGCTGTGGACAATATGAAACATATATTGTTCTCTGATGAGTCCACCATCACATCAGGGAGAGTTTTGTGTGGAGAAGCCCCAAAGAAGCACCCCACCAAGACTGTTGCATGTCCAGAGTGAGGCATGGGAGTGGATCAGTGATGGTATGGGCTGCAATATCATGGTATTTCCTAGGCCCAATACTAGTTGGGCATGGTTTTTAATAGTTTTATAGTTTTTAATACCTGGCCACTATTCTGCAAGATGAATAGCACTCCCAAGTCCCAGGGCACTGGGCAAGACTTGTATCTGTCATTCCCAAGATGAACTGATGCTGTATTGACCACTAAAGGAGGCCCTGCACCATACTAATGAATTAATGTGGTCTAAAACCAGACCTTTTAGTTTCATTGTTCAACAACTCTATATATATGTACAAATGTTTATATATGTAAGAGTATCATGACCTGGGTGTTAGCCAATACAAGATTGTCATTTCTGCACAGTCCATTTTCCTCTGATGAATGAACATGATAAAAGCTCTCTTGATGATTTTGATCTTTACCATAGCTTACTAAAGCTAATAAATATTCTGTCCATCCAACACCTAACACTGAAATAAGCCCTCTGCTCTTGGGAGGTGTTTCAAGTTTGCTTTTAAAACAAACATTTTGGACCAGTGTGGTCATGCCCTGAGGCTTCAGCCGCAGCGAGGACACCCATTAGGAGTGTGTCACACTGGGTCTGACCCCTCCTCTTCTCCCCTGGTTGCCCTGTGAGCAAACAGTGGTCAAGCTACAAATGAAGCCCCTCCATTCTTGTCACAACAGAAGCACAGACAGCTCAAACTGATGTATGAGAGCTCGCTCGGTCACCAGAGGACATTAACGACAGGGCAGGAGACTAAAAGAGGGCAATCCTCCACCCCCTTTGCCAACTCTGTAGTGACACAGCCTAAACAAATGAGTCCATGGGCCAGGATTGTCTAAATCATTCATTGTGATATTGTTAAATAAGCAATTTACAAAACCACATTAAGGATGTTATCATCTAGCATCTGTGTGGTGTTCATTGCTGAATTTTCAACGTTTGCATGATTTACCATCATCTTTTCTCTCTTACTCAATTTTAGCTCATATTTCCAAGCTTATTTAGCTTCACTTTCCAAAACACAACCCCCCCACCCCCAATAGATTTTCTTAACGCACACCATGTCGTTGGATTCCTGTTCCAGAGTTTGGTTGACATACAAATCACCAGAAGTAGAGACTTTATTAAGACACTTATTGGTTATAATAAAGGTATTTATTAAAGCCTTTTAAACAGTTGAAGTCAATAGGGCTTTAATAAATACATATATTTGTTTAATTAGCAAGTATGAAATGCAACAACATTTATTTTATTATCAACATCATGTAACAAAAGATTTATATGAAAAATATAAATAAAAAGTTTAGTAGCAGGAACTGTTTTGTATTATGTATCATTTATGTTTTGTTATCTAAACATTAGGGTGATGCAGTATGTAGGGCTGTCGTCTCACAGCAAGAAGGTTGCTGGTTCAAGCCCCGACTAGTTCAGCTGGCATTTCTGTGTGGAGTTTACATATTCTCCCCGTGTTTGTGTGGGTTTCCTCGGGGTGCTCTGGTTTCCCCCACAAGTCCAAAGACATGTGCTATAGATGAATTGGGTTAGCTAAATTGTTCGATGTGTATGTCCTGGTCCTCGAGGTTGGGGGTTGAGCGTTGGGCTAAATACCCACCTCATAAAAATTAAATGTTATGAAACACCAACATGGTGCGGCTAAATATCAACTTCAAAATAAATGGTCCTGGAAGTAAGTAAGTATCTAAACACTGATGGTAATAAATGTATTTCAAGCACCAAGTCATGATGAAAGATCTGGACTGGCCAATAAAAATTAATTTTTCATATTAGATTTAACACAAACATTCAAGCTCAAAAGTTATTTTACTTTGTCATAATATTTCTCAATATTGCAGTTTTGGCTGCATTTTTTTAATGAAAACTTTTCAGCCTTGCTGAGCAGATATTTTT